TACATACATACATACACACCACCATCTTTCTATATAGCTATCTCAACACACAAAAGCATGCATATGCAACCTCATCACGAGCTGCACTGCACCACCATATATATCATCTCTGCCAATGTATATATATATATAGTCCCCCCTGACGTTTTCATAGTGTGCCCGTGCGTCTAATTATGTATGTTAGTTGCTTCATTGACATGGAAAATGTTGGTCACGGTCTCAAGGATGATAGGCATGGGAGGTATCGATGAAATCTGTAAAGTGGGGTGCAACTCTAGAAGCAGCCGAGTACGCTAGCCTTGCAGCTCTTCAAGATAACCATGTTCTTGAAATATTGCTGTACCTAGCTACTATGAATTTTGGCAATATTCGAGAGCGAGTGATGAATACTGTACATGTACTGGTTTGTGAATGCATGAAACGGCCGGCTTAATTGATCACCGGTAATTGTTTACGTACTTGTGTACATTTAAAAAATGAGCTTTATCAAAATGCTCAATACAGCTGATCGATTGATGACATCAAAAGCTATAGCATGATTCACATTTTTCTCAAACCAAATTGTTTGCACCTTATTGCGCGCGGTTAGTACAGTATAGGCGCTGCTACTAATCGGCACATATACATACTTTAATTTCTGTGATGAACCATACATATCAGTAAATTACTACTAGTAGTAAAAATGAAAATTAATAATAAACACTACGCAAACATGGCTGCAGAAAGGAAAGGTGAAGACATACGACATAAGTGGAAACACACAATTGCAGTAAGTGAAAACTATACGGTCACAACTAGAATGACAACGATGAAAAGTCACTACTGAGATGTGAAAACTAATAGCATGATGCATGCTATACTCTTTCTACTACAATATCCATTTGTTATCACATTTCAAGTCCAATTATATATAATTGCCAACCTAATTGCATCAAGCAGTCGCATACTTGGGACACATACTATTCCTCTCATATCTGCTTAGGCACTTCGGTTGCTTGTGATATAACTGTACTAACAGTAGGTTAACTGGGTACCACAGAAGGAGCACCAAGTGAGGGCGAACCCTAGGAGACCCGCCCCCTAGCGGCTCCTACCCTGCCGCCGCCGCCGGCCCCGGCGCCTGGCTCCCCCTTTCCCCCTCCCCTCCCCTCCCCTCACTTCATCCCCTACCCCCTCCTCTCCCTGCGCTGGTGCGTCCACCGCGCGACCATCAGTGCGCATGGGGACTGGCGTGAACGCTCCCGCCATCCGACCGTCGGAGTCGTTGGCGGCCAGCAGCGTGGCGCGCCCACCGCAGCAGCCGCCCCAGCCGCCATCCATGCAGGGTTCGCAGCGCCCGGAGCTAGGCTCTCCGTTTAAGCCGCGCCGCCGGGCTGGATCATGGCGCCCCATCCCGCATCCTTCGGGCCTCGGATTTGGGAGATCCGGTGAAGACTCTCACGCCACCACCGGATTCGACGCCGCCGCCCCATCCCTATCGCCATCGCCGCCTCACGCCGTTCAGCACGCTGATCCCCTCCTCCCCGCCATGGTGCTCTCATGGGCGGCCACTCCAACCGCGGGGCCCGCTCCCCGGTACTGACAGACCGGCACCTTCGGCCAAATGCCCGCCCGCATGAAGAGTCCAGCCGGGCCCGGATCGAGGACGTTCGCTCGCCATCGGGGAACCCCGCCGCCACGCCAGAGACGTAGCCGATGGAGGACGAGTCGCTGGTCGTCATCGAGGATGTCTTGGAAGATGAGGACGAGGATGAAGACGATGGCGACGAAGTGCCTCCAACGATGGCTGCACGGACTCCCTCCCCGTCGCCCGGCGCCGCAGATGTCGGGCCCCGCAGCCGTTGGCACCTCCCTTAGCGCGGACGTCGGAGTTGAGATGGGCGCCCCCTGGATGCGTGCGGTCTCCACGAGTAGGAGCTCCTCCCTGTCACCTCTCGCCACACCCTTCTTCCCAGCAAAGTGGTATGCGGATAGATCTAAGACTCTGGCTACTCCAATTTTGACTCCACGTTCTTTGCTGCCCAGTCGCAGTACCTAGAAGCCTCTCACCGGGCAATCGAGGTGACGGCCTCTCCCGTGCCTGTAGCGCCGTCAGAGGTGGAGAGCTCTGCCTCACGTCCGGTCGTCATCACCACGAAGAGGCGGCGTCATCGTCGTCGAGCCAGGACTAGGGACATCGACGGTCCTCTAGCGGTGTCCCCACACCCGGCCGCTAGGGTGCCCACGCACCAGCGGCTCGTCCCATAGCCGTCATGCGTGCGCCCGTGCACCAGCGCCTCGACCCACGGCGTAGGGCACCCATCGTCATTGTCGTGGGTTCATGATGAACGCCAGGCGACCTCCGATGCCGCCGCGCGTCGATCCAGCAGATGCACTTCCTCGACGCCACATTCCTTTAGCGGACGCGCCTGTCGACGCAGACGGCTTCACGCTTGTTCAAAGCCATCGGCGCAGGCGCCGCCATGACCCGTCTCACCCTCGTCATTAGCGGCTGGTACCGCCTTCGCTCGTCGGTCTCTGCTTCAACTGTTTGGCTAGGGACCATATCGCCGCCCTGTGCACCGTCCAGCAGCACGACGTCGAAGACCGCGCCTTGGAGGCTCCCGCACCCAATCCGCGGAGAGGCGCCGGGGCGAGCGACCGTGCTTGCAGTTTGACGCCCGGTGCTCTGTGCTGCAGCAGAAAAGGTAGCGGGATGGGACGGTGCACCATAGCGAAGATGACGACAACGGCGGCGACGGCCAGGACGCTGGCGGCGCACCGGAGCCGTAGCTTGAGCCTATGTGAGACCCAACTTTCCAGCAAGTGCAACCTATCATTGTCGGAGAGATTGTGCATCCAGCCCAACCGGTATCGATCCTTCATCATCACGGGCCACGCGAGCGGTTGCCCTCTTGCTGAAGTTGGCGCAGACATCACCAACCCCTAAATCACGTCCGGTGTCGTCTTCCCCTACCGATCACTCGGCGCCTCCCATGAGTTTGAATTTCAAATTACATTGCGGCCTCCACCACCGCTTCCATGGATGGATCCGATGCTTTGTGTCTCGACTTGGATGCCACTGCTTTTGCGACTGATCAAAGTTCGCGCCTTGGGGCACCTGCTTACGGTCTTGGAGCGAACATATGGCGCAGCAAAGTAGCCCTCCGCAGGCGTCCTGGGCATCGGGGCTGCTAGCTAACGAGCAAGCACAGCATAAGCAGCTCTCTGTCGTGGCCTCCAACGATGCCCACGAAGGGCAGCCCGCTCAGCCCACTGACAACGGCCCATCAATGCTGGTACATGGGACGGACCCCCCTCCTACTTCTGTTGTAGCCTCGCCTTCAGTCCAACCCACCTCTGTAGAGGAGGTCATCACCTGTCTAAAGCTGCCGCTCGAGAAGCCGCTGATCCAGTCACCGCCGTGCCTTCTTGTCTCGCGCTTATGAAGTCGAGAACACGGTGCCGTCTTTGCAGTGATAGACTTGCTACCAAGTGTGTCTACCGCGACCCGAACCCAGAGAAGCAAGCCAAGTGGGTCATGCTCAGCAACTGGCAGCCATCGGCGAGTGCCCCACGGTTAGCGCTGGCAACACCTGACGCGACCATCGCCACTCGGTTCCACGAGATGTTCCAAGAGCCGTTGTCGTCGTCCTAGTGCGCGGCAATGCGGGAGTTGTTCCCCATGGCTAGTGCTCGCGGGAGGCGGGTAGCGACGTAGGCATCTTTAGCGAAGATTCGCCCAACGTCGCAAGCTCTTCCCGATTGAACTTATCATCCTGTGGTACAATATTTTTCTCCCACAACAAATCAGCTCCATCAGCCGAACAAGGCAATTGCCTTTTGTTCGTGTTCAACCCATCGCTCATGGCATCTTGTCGTGATGTGATGTTGGACGTGTAAAACTTCTACCTTCTTCTTAATGAAGCACGTGCTATGCACATTCAAGAAAAAAAACATAACTGTACTATTTTCAGCCAGTCTTTTTCTTTTGCAGGGATGGTGGACACGAAAATTGAATATGCTTGCCCACATTTGAATAGCTCCGCTTTAGAGAAGTATATATAATTGCATTGGTGAAAATGAACGAAAAACTCAAGCGTAACTCCTCCTGGGACCTGCTGTAGCATTTATATTATATACATATAGACCACCATCTCGCTACATGGCAATCTCAGCTCAAAATACAAAAGCATCCATGCATATCCCTTCCTAGCTCGCAATATTGGTGTATCTAGCTAGCTACTAGGAATTTTAAGAATATTTGGGAGTAGCAAGTGTTGAATACTGTACATGAACATGTTTCTGAATGCATGAAACGGCTTAACTGACTGGTAATTCTGTACCCACTTGTGTACATTTCGAACAGAAACTTCATGAAATAAAAAAGAAACTTCGAAAATTTCGACTGATGATCGACATCAAAAGCTAGCACGATTCATATTTACCTCAAACCAAAGTGTCCACTTTAATTTATTGCGCGCAGCTAGTATACCAAACGCGGCGCTGCTACTAATCTCGGTACATATATATATAAATACTGTAATTTCCGTGAGAAATCATGCATAATATCGTATTCAGTACTAGAAAAAATAGTAAAAGCTAAGCGAAAATGGCTGCATAAACATAAGCCACCACGAGAGGCAGCACGACGTTGGTGACGCGCCCAAGCCCTGCCGCCGCCGCCGCCGCCCCCCAGTAGAGGGGCCCACTGTATCCATACGTTCCGGGTCCAAACCCGCCAGGCCCGCCGAACCAGCCGTATCCTCCGCCGCCGCAGCACTCGTCGCCGGGGCCGCCGAAGCCGAGGGCCGTTGTTGCTGCCGAACCCGAGGCTGGCCCCGCTAGGCAGCTCGTCGGGCGTCGGCACTGGCAGCGCCCCCGCCACCTCCACCGCAGGCAGGTACGGCTCGCCGCCGCCATGCGGTGTCGGCAGGTACGGCTCGCCGCCGGCGCCGGCCCCGGCGCCCGGCAGCGGGAACTTCTTTGGAGTCGTGGCGCCGGCGGCGGCTGTTGCGGTTTCAGACGCCGCCGCTGCAGGTGTCCCCGGTTGGAGCGCCGCTGCTCCTGCGGCGGCGGATGACGGCGACGATGCAGCTGGCAGCGTGGCGGTGGTGGTCGGGCCTGCAGGCAGCACATTTTATTTGTATTAGTCGTCGGCGAGGTTGCAGAACTGCAGAAGCAGTCGAGTCAGCTGGTGACGGTACTTGCCTGCGGCACCTATGCTCAGCTGCGCCGACGACACTGACGCCGGCTGCACGGTGTGATCAGCCATGGCCGCCGGCAGAAGCACGCATGACGATGTCCACAACGCCATGGCGAGGAGGAGGAGGCTCGACGAGCGGACGAGCTTGGCAGCCATTACGGTGGCAAGCTAGGACTTCCACCAGCTGGACTGATGATGATCGAAGAAGTAGATGGACGACATTTTTGTACGTGACATGGTTTATATGGTCTGAAAAAGGAACAAGTCTGGCCGGGTAGAGGAGAAAGCAAGGATAGACTGCGAGCATTACGTATGTAGTAGCAGTAGCAGGGGTGGGTAGGCAGATGCATCTAATTCCTTCCTTTCCTTTGATCAGCGAGTCATATCCGGCAAGTCCACTGGTTGGTGGACCAACGACCAACCACAGTCTCCTTTTTGTGCAGATGTTGAAGTTGGAACTACTGGGCCTCCATGGTTAATAGCGGGCTTGGGCCGCATAAAAATTATTGATGGGCTAGCTGAATTATTGATAGGCTAGCTGCGACGCATCAGTTTCGTTATGGGCCTCGCCAAGCTGTGCTGAGGGAGAAAGCAAACCTGCATGTCGCAGCATGCATGGGCCTATAACGGAAAGACTAAATGTGAAGCAAAGCTGGATCGCTGGACATTAGAGAAGGATACCATTTGGACAAAAAGACAATTTTATTTAACAAGTGCAATGCAGCCTCTCCAAGTGCACGAGTTTAATGCTACCCCTGAAAGTGAGAAGGTACATCATATACGATATACCATGGCTCTCGATATAAAGTGACCCCCAAGGCTCATTTAGATCAAACATTGGCCATGTCTGCGTTGAAGAGGGCAAGAGGCATAGGATTTTGGTAGTTCTAAGTTAAATTAGGATGGTTATTGACAAAAAGTGTAACTGATTAATATGGTCTTTTGAAGGTAGGTAGGTAGATACGCCTGGGAGGTATCAGGCATCACCAAATATGAAGCTGCTGTAAAGCTTGTGCACCTGCTTGTGGAGGTCATGTGAGTTTATTTATAGAGTACTCAAGAATAGCCCTTGGCGTGGCAATATAAGGCAAGACTCAATCTGAGGTTTATTGTTACAATTACCCCAATATACAATATGCTAATACGTACAAAGAATATTTACCATCTATGAATATCAATCAATCTCGGATCTTTGTCATGCTAATTTAGATGATTGACTACATGATGCGAAGCTTCTGTTTACATTGTCCGGTGATTTACATAAGTGAGGAACATTCCAAACACTCCCCCTCATTCACAAGGTGCTCATGTTGAGAATGTGTTTGAATTGTTCGAGTAGCATAATAGACAGGGGCTTTGTAAACCCATCAGCAGCTTGGTCATGTGTAGATATGAGTTTGATGTCCAATAGTTTGTTGGCTGCTCTTTCACCAACAAAGTTATAGTGCACTTCAACTCGTGAACAATGAGACGTATGTGGTGACCTCATCCATCCCATGATATATATGTATCTTGTTTATCCTTTGTGCACATATATATAAGGAGCAGTTGTGCTTGTGCGTGGATTCCTTCGTAGGAGTGAGTGTGCTTTCATATATATGTAAACTTCTATGTTTATACTGTGTTTCGTGTGCTGACCCTGCTGGCCTCCTCGAAATAATTCCTACCTACGCACAAATTAAATATATGGTGAGCTAAAGCATGTTCTAGGTACGGGTGCAACTATTGCCCATAGTTGTGGGTCCTCATGGTCAGCTAACTGCAATATTGCAATGTGGCATCCATGAGAACAACATTAATTGGCGAAGGTACATCATATATTGTGTCATTCTATATAATGAAGAAGATATAAGGCTAGCAAGATCAAAGCTTGACCAAGCTATCTACCAGAGGAAGAAAATCTGCAGGTTGCAACATGGACCTCCTAATTTGTGTAGATGATGAAAAGGAAATGTTTTGATCAGACTTCTCGTCCACTTCTTCAGAAAAATCAGACAAACTTACTACTGATGGAAATGCAAATTATTCCTCGAATTAAGGCATCCACATTTCACACAAACGGCCTAAACTGAAACCCAATCCAGAGATGAAATGAGTAAGGATGAAAACGGAAAGAAAATATCCCGAACCGAACCGCATCGTTTTCTACATTTGACCTGAGCGAATTCGTATTTTCGGACAAAATACGGAATACTAAATTCGAATTCGAAATACGGAATACTAAATTCGAAATCGGATCGAATTCGGTTTAGGCTTTGTTCGACCGATTTCTACTTTCCTATATTTTATTCGGAGCGTTCCGTATTCGAAATTCGGTTCGAACCGAATTTGGTCCAGCACGCAAAGGTGCTTCGTCTAAAGGAGTGTGGAAGGCCGAAGGCGGCTGCCTGCTCCGCGCGGTCTCTTCCGTCTCAGAGCGAGCGATCAGTGGCGTCGCCGCGCGGATCCGAAGCGCGCGAAAAAATGCAGGGCGGATCCAGCGGCATCGTCTACGGCGGCCTCAAGTACCAGGCAAGCAAGCAGCAGCAGCAGCGCCTGCTGGAACCTTCTAGAACAACTTGTCTTAACCTCTTCCTCCTTTCTCAGCTCTTGCAGGCGCGGTGTATCGCCGACGTGCGCGCGGACGCCGGCTCGACCACCTTCCTCGCCGGCACCCTCAGCCTCAAGGAGGAGAACGAGGTGCGTGTCTCGCGGCCATGAAGGCGCGTCGCGTCTGGTGGGATTGCGATTCGAGTAGTACTTTTCTGTCAGGGGAAATGGCGTGGGATTTGATTTGGATCTCGATTCCTCTGAGTGCGTCCAAGTAGGTGCACCTAATCCGGCTTTCGCCGGCGGAGAGCGAGCTGGTGTGCGATGGCCTCTTCTACCACCCCAACGAGATCTGGGACCTCAAATCATGCCCCTTCGATCACAGGGTCTTCTCCACAGTCTACACGTCTGGTAAAGAACGGAAAAGTTGCCTCTCTGTTCGTGAACATTGCAATTTGCAAATCTGTAGTGTGTGATTTTCTTGTAATTTGGAAAAGTCGTGATGTGAATGCCAGGTGAGGGCTACGGTGCGTCAGTTTGGAAAATCCCAGAGGTTAATGGGCAATCAAACTCACCTCAACTTGAGCAGCTCTTTGAGCTTAGTGGGCATACGGGCAAGACTAGACGGTGAACTCCTGTTTCTGTTGATTTTTGGTTGCTCTATAGTTGTGAACTTTATGTATTTGGTCGTACACTTGTTTAATGTTATGCGCTGTGGGTTGGTATTTCGTATTGAATTTTCGCATACCGACCGTGTTCGACATAATTCCGCTCGAATTGGTTCGTTTCCGAAATTCTAGATATTCCGTAAGTTCGTGTTCGTTTTCGTATTCGGCTTGTCCGCTTTCGCTTTCGCTTTCGTATTTCAAATGTAAAAGTAGAAAACGGTTGAGGAGTTTTTCGATCGAGTTCGACCGTTTTCATCCTTAGAAATGACCATATAATTACGTAGCAAAAGAACTAAGCACAAAGCTGTTGTCTCAAGGATCTGTCCGGCACACCAAAAAGACGATCTCGTTTTGATGATCATTCTGCTCCAGCTGTGCCTGAAGGCAAAGCCAGTGTGTCACCCTTGATAATATTTGCCAGAGTTATGGGTCAGCATTAATTAAATAACAACGTTTCCTGTGAGGCATAGTGACCAACAAACATCAGCATCTACAGTGAGGAAAAATAATAAAAAGCAATGAACTAGTATGAAATAATAAAAGGAGTCGGACATTAAAACTAATGCTATCTGAACATAAACTCGTCGATATTGAAATCTTAGGAACTTCAAACCACATAAACTGGGTATCAAACAATTGCTAGGAGGCCAGGCACAACAATAAGTGATGCGATGAAATATCCATACATGTAAAGCAGATATGACATAACATGTAGGCAAAATTGCCAAATAAGGACACGAAAAATGACCTCCCTTTGCCAGTGGACACTGAAAATAGTGACATTTGCCGGAGAACACTTTGCTTCTTCTTAAATTTGCTGGTGGAGACCACGCGGAATAAAATATTCATCTCTGTCTTTGCAGGAGAGAGAAGAGCAGTGAAATGTTACTTTTGCCCCCCCCCCCCCTGCTTGTTTCTTCTTCCTCTCTCCCTGTTCTTTTCTCTCCTGATGCCTGGTGGCTCGCCCCCTGTCACGCGTCCACAAGGCACAGAGCTGCGGAGCATGCTGGCCACCCGTGCCCTGTGCTCGCCTGGCTATGCGGCCACCACCTAGGCCGGCAACGCCTAGCTCTCCTAGATGCAGAGAAGCGAGGGCCTATGGATGGAGGCAACCTCATCGATCCCCTGATATATTTATTGTGTTTGTCCTATGTGCACATATAAGGGGCAGTTGTGCTTGTGCATGAATTCTTTCGTAGAAGTGAGAGTGCTTTCGTATATGTAAACTTCTGTATTTATATATATTGTGCTTCCTGTGGTGGCCCCTTCAAAAGAATTCCTGCCTATAGTAGCTATACTCACATATTAAATACACGGTGAGCTAAAGCATGTTCTAGGGCTGGGTGCAACTATTGCCCCTAGTTGTGTGTCCTCTTGGTCAGCTGCATGCAACATTGCAACGTGGCATCCATGAGAATGACTTTAATTGGCGAAGGTACATCTTATATCATGGCGGTATATAATGAAGGAGACATAAGGCTGGCTAGCTAATAGCTCGGCCAGGGCTACCACCTGGAAATGGGATGAGGTTGTTGCAGTGCCCTGGTAGCATAGAGAAAAGGTAACAACAACCAAAAGTAGCGGATGGTGTTGGTATAGGTTTGGGAGGTATCAGGCATCGTGAATTCTGCAATAACAAGAGAGAATGCCGCCGCGCTTGCCTACTGCTCTAAGGAAGTTCATGTCTGCTAGCCTGTGCACCCACGCTGCACAGTGAAATCCGACACCCGAGTGACTGGTTGATATATACAGGCACCACGGATGCCTCATAGCTTGGATGGACTGTCACACATTGGTGGGACGGCTTGCAATTTCATGATGGGGCGCACCAAGATACCTATGGGAGGTAGAAAATCTGTAGGTTGCAAAACAGACATTTTAATTTATACATTTACTGATATATGCCCAAGCGTTACAACGGGGCCACAATTTTATCCTTCCCTACGGCAACGGATTTGA